TGCGCAATCATCCCATCCACCTGCTTGGGATCGATCCGGGGCGTCCCAAGGAGCCCCCCGCGCCTCGTGAGCTGCATGACTACCGAGTAGTCCAATCCGCGCGTTGACTTGATGGGGTCATGGGAGTTAGGGCAATCGCAAGCCTTCCGCGAGCAGCCCATGTGCGTGGTGGCATAGGGACGTTGTCTTTATTGCGGGGCGCATGCGCCACGGATCGCGTCCGCTCCGGGCGTGTTAGTTCCTTGCCCGCTGGGTACGCCCTCTTGGGGGCTGTCCCCGCTGGGGCCCCGGTGCCCGCCTTGGGCCCCGCCTTCGGCTGGGGCCCAGCCCCCGCCTTGGGCCTGTCATCCCCCTGCGCCGTGGGCCGGGGATCGCCCATTTCCTCGCTCCCTCCCGCTTTGGGCGGTCGCTTCGTGAGGTGGGCGTTCAGCTGCCCATTGAGGAGGCGCGTGAGTGCGGCCTTGCGCCGGGGCACGACCACCTGCTGGTAGTAGGCGTTCGGGTCCCCGAGGTCGAACGTTCGGGGCAAATCGTAGCCGTTCTCCGGCATGAGTAGGATATACTTGATGTCCTCCCTCCTCGGGTTCTCGGTGTCGAGCTCTCGACAGAGTCGGCGCCTCAGCTCCCGCAATTCCTCGACCCAGGTGCTTCGGAGCTCTTCCCACAGATCCTTGACCCAATGGTCTGGGAACTCCGATGGGCCCCTCTCGAAGGCCGCCTCCAAGAACCCCAACGACCGCCGCCGCTCCGCCCCGTGTGCGACCCCTATGATGGACTCGAACATCTGGATCTCGCACCGGGCCCTCTTGAACCAGGTCGCCATGTGGGTGGCGGGCCGTTGGCGGGGCTCCAGCTTGTCGTCCACAGGGAGCCGATAGCCATCGAAGTCCTCGTCACGCGCGGGGACGCAGTCGTCCACCGCCAGGTCGTGAGGGCCCGTCCCGAAGGCGAGCGCCGCGTAGCCGTGTGCCACACGGTTGGTAACCAGGCAGGGAAACCCGATCGTCTTGAGCGTGCTCTTGGAGTGCGCACACATGCGCTTGAGTGAGTCGAACAAGTCCTTCCCCGTGATACCCTCGCAGGCCTCAACCACGAAGGTGTTGCATCCCCGGGCTATGTAAAGATCGAGTTCCTCGTCCCGTCCGATCCCTGCCCTGGTGCCCCGGGCCTTCTTGTCGCCCTCGGTGGCCCGCGCCTGCCGCTCGGCGGCGAGGACGTGGCGTTCAGCGAGGCGGTTCTGGCGATCCAGGCGCTCGATAATCTGGGCTTCGGCCTCGACTGTAAGCCCGCCCAGGGCGCCCGCCGCCCCGGCGTCGTCTGGACCCCCAGCTCGCTCCCCACCCAGGCCGCCCCCGTGGGGCGTCTGGCCAGTGAGGTGGCCAAGGACCGAGGCCCCGTCGAGGAGCGGATTGGCCCCACGGGCGGCCCCCCCGCGTCCATCGCGTGCCAGCAGGTCCCGATCACCCAGCAAGCCCCGTCGTGGGCCCGTGGGTTGGATGGGGGGCATGGCACCGAAGAGCTCGCGTCGGGGTCCCTGCTTCGGGCTGGGATCCCGTCCCCGCGCCGAGCGACTCCGCGACCCCTCACGTGAGAGGCCCCCCTGCAGGGGAACCTTGTCGGCGGCCGCAGCACGCTCCCGCGCGCGCGCTTCCAGCTGCGCATCCTCCAAATCCGCGAGGGCGCGCTCTAGGTCGGACCCCAGTGGGCCCGCCGCTGCCACCTGTGCGACCCTCCGCCGCAGCTGCCGCTCCGCCTGATCAAGCGGCACCCCGAGCAGGTCCGCGGCCATACCTAGTGCACTGAGAGCCGCCGCTTGGCCCCCCCGTCCTTTGAGATCCTCGGCTCGCAAGGAGTCCATGAACATTTCGAGCGGGTCGGGCTCCTCGGCGTCCTCGCTCACGCCGGCGGCGGCCGCCGCTAAGCGCGACAGTGCCGCCACGGGGGCGGGACGGGGCAAGCCCTCCATCCCGGGCGCAGGCGGCGCCCCCTGCGCGCCGCCCCGTCGATGGTGGCCGAGTGTGCGCACAGGGTCGTGCTGCAGCTGCTGGCGCTCCGTGTTCGTCTGGTAGCGCCGCCTCCAGCCGCTCGCGCTTTCCACGCCCACACCGCCCCACTGCTCCTGGCGTAACATCGCCAGCAGATCCTGCGGGATGTGGTGGGCGATGACACGCAACCCCACTTCCCGAGCCCCTTGGGGGACCTCGTACAGCAGCCGATTGATCCAATCTATCGGGTAGCGCCCGTCCTCCAGCGGGGGGGGGTGCCGTACGACCTCGCTGGCTGGGACCTCCACCCTGACGCCCTCGAGGCTAGTCCCGATGATAAGTCTGGCGTCCCCGCCAGTGCCCCGTACGTCGAGCCCCTCGCATTCCCCCAATAGAATAAACCAAGGACTCGCCGGGGGCGCGCCGTACGCCTCCTCGGCTCCCCGAGGGTCGCCCGGGAGTATCGGGCAGACCTTCACGAGTAGGGGCTCCTGAAGCCACCCGTGGTGGGCGATCCGATCGCCCGGGGCCCCGCGGTCGGCAGACCGTGAGCGTCCGCTGGCCCTAGCTTCCGCGGAGCGTGTGCGACGCGGCTGCGGCCCCGAGGTTAGGGCCTGCGCCCCCGTGGGCTCCACATCGACAGATGGGGCCACGGCGGGCGGTGGCGGTGCAGCGGGGGGAGGTAGAGGCGGGGGGTGGACCGTCTCGGGCGCAATGCCAACCCCATCAGCAGCGTGCGCGGTCCAATCGCGCACCCTGGCGGGGCTTGGAGCCCGCGCCCGCATGCGGCGGCGCAGGCCCCCGAGGATCCCAGGTTGGACCGTCGCCTCGACGCGCACGGTGTGACCCTCGTCCCGTCGGAGATGTTCCCCGCACATCGGGGCCCCCCCGCAGCTACCCTTCGCCATGCGGAGACAAGTGGGGAGGCTGCACTTGCGGCCGATCAGGGTAGACCGATACTTCTGCGCATGGTGGGCGCAGAGGTGCACCTGTGCATTGAGACAATGCCCAGGCCGAGGAACGTCCGACACCTCCGCGTCCTCCTGTAGCAGGACAGTGGCCTCCTGCATCCCTCGGTCGCCGCACCCCTCCGGCTGGAGGGGGCGTGCGCCACCCGCGAGCTGCACCCCAACTTGTGCGGCTTGGCAGGGGCGCTCCTCCGCCTCCACCTCGCTCTCCGAGTCGATGTCCAGGCGGCGATAGCCCGTGGCGTCGGTGATGTAGCGGGGCTCCGGCCGGCCCCGGCACAGCCATCCGAGTACCGACCAGGGTGAGCAAAGCAGCCACTTGACGACCCCGAATACCTTCCGGAGTCCCACGCCGACTGCTCGGCAGGCCGTGGCCCTTCCGTGCTCAGCCAAGTCCACGATCTGTGTGTGGTCAATGGCCGCGTACTGGTCGACGTGCATGGGATGCGCCACTGGACAGGAGGCGCACTCGACAGCACGACATAGATGCACATTCCCTGTCTCCTCGAGGTTCAGCCGCCACTTGCGACTGGTGCACCCCAGGACCTGCCCGATCTTGATGTTGAGCCCGTGGCGGTCCAATCGGTACCGGTCCGCGAAGTTGCAGCTGATGCGGGCCACCTGCCCGTGCTCACGCAGCAGCACGTGGTTGTACGCCCGATTGGTCCCTCGGCCGCGGACCCCCTTTGTGTAGAACTCTGTCTCCACCACGCCGCCCAAGCCCGGCCCGCGCCAGCGCACCAGCAAGGTGGTCGGCGGGGGTGGGGGAAGATGGGCGCCAGGCCCATCCCCTCCGCGTCGCTGGCAGCACCGGGTAATCTGGTACCACGCCCAGCGGAGTCCCCCGGCAGCCCACAGCATAGGCTGGGCTGCGGTGTTGACGATGAAGGCCAGGGCACCCAACACGAACGTGAAGATGCCTAGGGCAAAGCATAAGACCGCGGTCTCCCACCAATACCCAAGCATCTTAACGCCCAGGCGGTCGACGGCGGATCCAAACCATCCGCCACTCGTGCGGATCGTGCCCGGGTGGTCGGGGGAGCTTACCCACGCTCCATAGCCCACGACCTCGAAGACCCAGGCTGCGAAGCCCCAACCGGGACCCGGCCCTGCCTCCGGGGGCGGTGTAGGTGGCGGCGGCGGCGGTGGGGGTTCGCTCCGGCCAGCCCACCAATGGGGCAGGTGCGGGACCCAACCACTCCACCCCCAATACCCGTCCGGCCCACGCGGCAGGTCAGGCTCACCATCGCCCGTCCGGTTTCCCGGGGCGGACGGCTGCCCAGGCGCGCCCGTGGGCTCGTTGTTACCTCCGTATGCCGGCGTAGCTGGGCTGCCTGTGGGCTCGCCCTCGCCTACGCGCCCGATGCCCGCGGTCGTGGTCGTGGTAGTCGACCCCGACCGCGGCGGCGGTGGGACGCCCGGCGTCCCCGGGGGCTTGGCCTGCGGCCCTCGCCCCTTTCCCCCTGCAGGCGCGGGCTTGGCGGGCGGTCCTCGCCCCTTGCCTCGCCCCCCACCGCCTGCCGGCGGCGCTGTCGGCCCGGGCAGGGCTGGCGGCGTCGGCGCTGGGACCTCATGTCCCCCGCGCCCGAATGGCAGCCAGCCAAGTGCCCCTTGGACCGTAAGAGCGCCGCCCGTAACCAAGATCATCAGGTGCGCCCCCAGGAAGCCCACAGCCATGGCACCACAGGCGCGCTACCTAGTCCGCGGACTAGCACGGCTGTGGTTATGGCCGCCCCGCGGCCCCCTGGAACACCCGCGCGTCGGCCAGAGCCGAACGCTACGGACCCAAAATGGCTACCTGAGCCCACACCCCCTCCCACTTAACCTGCAGTCTACAACCAATCAGACTATACAAAACGAAAAGGCCTTCTCAGACGGCGGCGGGGCTTCTCAGAAGCCGTCGCGCCTTCTGAAAGGTTTTCTGCGGCTCCGGGGAAGCCTTGGACAACTTCCCAAAAAGGCCCGGGGGGGGGGGGTCCGAGCCTTCTGGGCTGGCCCGCCCCTCCTCGCTTCCTCGCGCGCCGTCGGCCGAAGCCACGGCCGGCGCCTTCAGGACGTCGCGGACGAACCTCGTGGCGCGGCGCAGGCCCCGGAACTTGTGCCTGCTGGCCAACGGGCGGTGGGCGGACGGCGTGCCGCCGCCCGGCCCGGGCGTCCTCGCCCGGCGCCCTCGCCGTCGTCCATGCAGTCGTCGTCATCGCCGTCGTCGCCGCCGTCGTCGCCGTCGCCGCCGTTCATGTCGTCCATGCTGTCGTCGCCGTTGTCGTGATCGTCGTCATCGTCGTCGTCGTCGTCGTCGCCGCTGTCGTCGCCATCTCCGTCGTTCATGTCGTCCACGCCGTAGTCGTAGTCGCCGTCGTCATCGTCGTCGTCGCCCATGCCGTCCATGTCGTCGTCGTCGTCGTCGTGCTCCTCCTGCTAAGATTTCTCCTCGGCTTCGACGATTGTTCAGGAGGGCAAGTGGAGCGGACAGCTTGAAAGAAACATTCGCGCTAGTGAACAGCACGGCTGCTCCTGGCTAGGTAGCAACCCTGAGCCTCCATCGTTCGCACCGTCCACGCAGAAGATGTGGACGGTGTTTCGCATTTGTCTCTTTTTCTTCGCCGAGAACACGGTTCGGAATGAGCGCTGGCCGTGGCATGCATGTCGAAACCGGAAATCAATGCTCGCCGTGGGCTGCTAGCTCAGTTTGTTGCAAAGGCGGTCGCCTCGGTGGGCGAGCAGTTCGAGCGCCCAGATGGTTCTGGCTCGGCACCCCTTCGGTCGGAAGCTCCCATCTGCCACGGGGCGTGCCTGGAGCACGGGCTGGCAGCGCCTCCAGGAGAGGGGGCCGAGCTCGAGCCATCCTTCGGGTGCGAAACACACTGTGTCCCCAAAGCGCGGCAAGCCTAGGGTGCCGCCGCGCGGTCACCCGAAGGCGCGCTTCGAAGACCTCCGACGGGGAAGCACAGCGCATGAGGCGGCGGGCATTCAGCGCCGCAAGAAATGCATCAATGCAAGCAACTCGCTTTAAAGAGGCCATTGGAGAGTCTGGGAAAAGCAAAAGACACGGGAATCTCAATGGGTCACTGCGGGCACAATTTTTGCCCTGGCGCCATATGCTCAGAAGAGCTTCGAGGTGAGGGCATGTGGAAGAATGATGAATCGAATCGGAATCAATAGACTCCTCAGAAACGCAACCAGATAATCATCCCATAGGCTCGGAGTGAAAACGGGAGGAGGTACATATGGAGCCTGTGATCAGCCTCAGCGGAGCAACGCCGATGTACATCGATGTCGCATCACAGACGGCCTTGATCGACTGGCGCATGCACTCAATCCCACGGGCAATATCGGTAGAGACAAGCGTCCGAGCTCGACGCAGGAGGGTGGCACGAACAGGCTCTGGCTGTTGCATGGCGCGGAATTCGATGCAGAGTTTCTGGTGCAGCCGCGACGTGCCACAAGTCAAACGCACAGGGAGCCCTAGATACCACTGCCTCATCCTGCGCGCGTACCCCAGGAAGGATGTCTCATTCCAGCCCTTGTGCCACCTAGAGGGATTATTCTCTACGTTGTCGCTCGCCTCCTCCAACTCCTCCAAAACCCCATAGACAAACTGAGACCCTGAAAAATGGCGAATATGAGTGGCTTGTGAAAGCCGCGCGGAATCCCATGTCCTTCATTCTAGTGGCAAAGTTGTAAGAGATAGCGCTCCGAGGGCCAGAAATCAAACGCATGACACTTTCACGGTGTTGGTGTATCAAAAGGCGGCCAGGCGAATAAAGCTGGAGACGGAATACAAGCTTCGACAAGCACATGACTCGGGAAGCCAGCGCACTCTGAGCAATCCCTAGTCCGAGTTGGCGAGTTTGGTGAACGCGCGCCAACAATCCAGGCAAGATCGGCTGCCAGACGTTCTCGGTCGCACCTGGGCCGATAGGAAACCCGAAACAAACAGGCTCCCATAACTCGCCAACACGGCCGAAAGACGGGCACAGCCGAGACCTCCGCACATTATCAACTGGCACTTCGAAACGTTCAGCCGAAAGCTAGCAATGGGCAAGAGCTGCGTCATCGCCAACAGGAACGGGCCGAGATCCGTGAAAACAGCCATCAAGCCAAAGAGAAAATCGTCCGCATACGCAAAATTGAAAGACACATGTTGCGAGCATCGATGGCGTATCCAACGCAGGAGGGGGTCAACCTCCAATACGGAAAAAAACATCGACGCAAAACAACCTTGTTTAACCCCAACATCGACCGAAATAATATGGAACCTTCCCCCATCTGCTTTGCCACGATTCGTCTGCGTCGTGTGGTTCGCGGAAGTATGTGCATATGTGTGTCTGTCTGTCGGTCGGTCTGTGTGTCTCGATGCCAGTCTCTCTGTGTGTCCGTATGTCTGTGTATGTATATGTGTATGGTTGTGGATGCATGCGTGTATGTATGCATGTATATATGTATATGTATATGTGTATGTTTATGTATATGTATAATGTATATGTAATTGTATATATACATGTACAGGTACACGCATATATGTATATGTATACGTATATGTATATGTATGTGTTTATGTACATGTATATGTATATGTATATGCATATGTATATGTGCATGTAAATGTATATGTACATGTACGTATGTGCACGCCTGTATGCGTGTTTATGTGTATGTTTGTCTGTATGTATGTATGTATATACGTATGTAAAATTGCGTGTATATATGTATGTACGTGTATGATGTATGTACGCATTCACGCATAAACGCATGCGTGCGTGCATGCATGTATGTGTATGTATGCATGCATGTGTGTATGAATGCATGTGTGTATGCCTGCCTGTCTGTTTGTCGGCTTGTCTGTCTGGATGTATGCATGTATGTATATATGTATGTGTGTACGTATGTATGTATGTCAGAGTGAGGGGGGCGAACGGTCATTCACTGTCCATGGGTGCGTGGCTGAAGTGGGATTTCGCGGTGCGGATTCTCTTTGTTGTTGTTTGTTGTTGTTTGTTGGTGTTTGTTGTCGTCGTCCCACCCGCAACCCGCCCCGCGACCCACCCGCGACCCACCCCGTGACCCACCCCGCGACCCGCCCGCGACCCGCCCGCGACCCACCCGCGACCCACCCCGCGACCCACCCCGCGACCCACCCCGCGACCCACCCGCGACCCACCCGCGACCCACCCGCGACCCCATCCGCCACCCACCCCACGACCCACCCCGCGACCCACCCGCGACCCACCCGCGACCCACCCCACGACCCGCCCGCGGCCACCCCGCGACCCACCCGCGACCCAACCGCGACCCACCCCGCGACCCGCCCGCGGCCCACACCGCGACCCACCCCGCGACCCACTCGCGACCCACCTTCGACCCAAACCACGCTCAAGGTACAAACCACCATTTTCGGCGTTCGCGGCGGTTTTTTTTGCATTCCTTCCAGGTGGAGAGCCCGCGACCCACCCCGCGACTAACCCGCGACCCAAACCACGTTCATGGTACAAACCACATGTTTCGGCGCCTGCGGCGGGCATCTTTTGCATTCGTTTCAGGTGGGGAACCCGCGGCCCACCCGCGACCACGATCAGGGTACATACCAATTGGTTCGGCGCCTGCGGCGGGCATCTTTTGCATTCGTCCCCGGTGGAGAACCCGCGGCCAACCCGCGACCCATTCCACGTTGAGTGTACAAACCCAATGTTTTGGCGCCTGCGGCGAGCTGCTTTTGCATTATTTCCAGGTGGAGGTGGAGAGCCCGCGACCCGCACGCGACCCAAACCACGTTCACTGAACAAACCAATGCCGCACAAGCGCGGCGGCGGATTTTTGCACGCCGTCTGCGCCCGCAACGACCTCTTCAAGCCCCGCGCATCCACACCAGCCCGTCCAGCAATTTTGCCCTGGCGAGTTGCCTTGATCAGAGAAGTCGGGGGGCATAAAATGGAAACAAGGATTGCGTTGCCGTTATCTTGGGAAAGGAGGGGGAGGCAGGAGGAGTAAACAAGGGACGAAGAGGACGCGACAGAAGAGAGGATGTAAGGAGAATGTGAGGAAAGAGGAGGAGGAGCAGCAGGAGGACGAGGAGGGGGAGGAGGGGGAGGAGGAGGACGAGGAGGGGCAGAACGGGGATGATGATGATGATGATGATGATGATGATGATGGTGATGATGATGATGATGATGATGGACAATGCGAGGACGATGATGGAGGCCGATGAGGGGGTGGACGACATTGGGAGGACGATGATGCAAGGACGAATGGAAAGAGGGAGGACGAGGAAAAAGGAAGACGAGGTGGAGGAGGAGGATGACGATGACGACGAGGACGAGGACGAGGAAGAGGAGGAGGAGGAAGAGGAGGACGAGGAGGAGGAGGAAGAGAGCGCCATCGACAGGGAAGGTGGGTGCCACGAGGTGCGCCGGCTCGACAACGTCCGCGTCGCCCGCGCCCGCCCCTCACTCTTATCCGCAACTGCGGGGTGTTATGTATATACGTTGTATGCATGTATGTATGTGTGTATGTGTACATGTATGTGTGTGTGACCGTATGCATGTATGCATGTATGTTCATGGTTATGTATATGTGGATGTGGATGTGTATGTGAATGTGCATGTATACGTGCGTGTGCTACGTACGTATGTATGTGTATAAGTATGGGTGTATGTGTGTTTGTATGGATTATGGATACGTGTATGCATGCATGCATGTATGCCTGTATGCCTGCATCTACGTACGCATAAATGTATCCATGGCGGTGCACACAGATTGACATATACACGCACATATATACATATATATATATAACACATATGTACGTATGGATGTGGGAGATCATTGTGTAGTAGCGGATCGCGAGCTATGTTGTTTCCGGGGGCGTGGCCACAACGGGAAGTGCCCCTGGCTCAAAGTGCCCACCACATGAATTCCCCAAAATGTCCGCAGACCCCCCCCCCCCCCCCCACGGCCTCCAAAGCACCACTTACGGGCCCAGAGGGCCCCTGGGGTTCAAAAGTGGAGCGAAAAGCTGGGCCGACGTTCGGGCTCAAGCCGCGGCAGGCCGCCGCCCCCGCGGGCCAACTGCGGGCTGGTCGCGGGCGGCCGCAGAGGGCCCATG